CCCAGCTGACTACCCCCGATCTCAGGGGCCCAAGTTAGAGCCCCACTAAGTAACAGGACAGACTCACTCTGATATAACTCAAATTCCTCATCAAATTCCTTGTCATAATCCAAAGAGGAAGTGGCTCATATCTTCAGATCAAAGTTAAGACCTGAATAGGATTTACATTGCCCATTTAATTCCTCTAAAAAACAGTCTGTGTAAAGGTGCAACATTAGGAATATTAAAAGTATATCTGAGGGCTGGGAATATGGCCTAGTGGTAGAGTGCTGGCCTAGGATGCATGAAGCCCTGGGTTTGCTTCCTTGGCATCACATAAAAAGAAAAAACAGGAAGTGGTGATATCGCTCAAGTGGTAGAGTGCTAGCCTTGAGCAAAAGAAGCTCAGGACAGCGCCCAGGCCTTGAGTTCAAGCCCCACAACCCACCAAAAAAAAAGAAAAAATCAGCCTTTTTGTAGGCCAACAATGTGCAAGCAGAATGGAAAATTATGAAAACCTCATTTGCAATAGCCTGCGGGGAGGTGGGGGGAAGCCTAGTCTAGTAATTAACCTAACCAAAAATGTAAAAGATCTTCAGAACAAAAACTATGAAAATCTAAGGAAATCAAAGAGGACATCAGGAAATGTAAAGAACTTCCACGTTTATGGATAGGTAGAATCAATATTGTGAAAATGGCCATACTGCCAAAAATGATGTACAAATTCAATGCAATCCCCATCATAATCCAAATGACATTCTTTACTGAGAGAAAACAATCCAATCCAAAAACTCATGGAACAGCAAAAGATCTAGAATAGCCAGAATAGTTCTAGGCAAAAAAAAAAAAAAAAAAATGCAAGCAATATCATAATACCAGATTTCAAACTCCTGTAGAGCCACAATAGCAAAAAGAGCTTAGTTTTGACACAAAAATAGACCCAAAGATTAATGGAACAGATTAGAAGACCCAGAAATAAGGCCACAGTCATCTGATATTCAAAAAAGGAGCCACAGACTGGGCACCAGTGGCTCACGCCTATAATCATAGCTACTCAGAAGGCTGAGATCTGAGGTTCACAGTTCAAAGTCAGCCCAGGCAGTAAAGTCCATGAGACTGATCTCCAGTAAACCACCAGAAAACCGCAATGGTGGTGTGGCTCAAGTGGTAGAGTAATCACCTTGAGCTGAAGAGCTGAGGTACAGCATGCCAGCACGCAGGCCCAGATTTCAAGCCCCACGACCAACCAAAAAAAAAAAAGGAGCCACAGACATACAGTGTGAAAAACAGCCTCTTCAACAATTGATGTTGGAAAAACCTGAGCAGCCATATGCAGAAAACTAAAAGTGAATCCCTGCTTGTCACCATGCACCAACATTAATTCAAAGTGGATCAAAGACCTCAATGTCAGACGGGAAACTGAAACTACTACAAGAGAGTGGGAGAGACATTAGAACTTAAAGGAACAGGCAAGAACTTCCTGAATAGAGTCCCAGGGGTACAACAGATAGGAGAGAGACTCAAGTGGGACTACCTTAAAATAAAAAGCTTCTGCACAGCTAAAGGCATAGTTCATAAACTAGAAAGGTAGCCAAACAATTGGGAAAAGATCCTTTTTCTGTGTGTGTGTGTGTGATGGGACTTGAACTCGGCCTAGACACTGTCCCTCAGCTCTTCAGTTCAGGGCGAGTGCTCTACCACTTGAGCCACAGCACCACTTCTGGTTTCTGGTGGTTTATTGAAGATAAGAGTTTCACAGACTCTCCTCCCCAGGCTGGCTTTGCATCGTGATCTTCAAATCTCAGCTTCCTGAGTAGTTAGGATTACAGGCATGAGCCACTAGTGATCAGCTTTTTTTTTTTTTGCCAGTCTTGGGGCTTGAACTCTGGGCCTGGGCACTGTCCTTGAGCTTCATTTTGTTCAAGGCTAGCACTTTACCATTTGAGCCACAGCACCAATTCCAGCTTTTTCTGTGTCTGTGGTTCTGGGAAATTGAACCCAGGGCTTCATGCATGCAAGGCAAGCACTCTACCACTAAACCACATTCCCATTATACTACAGTATTATAGTAACAAACACAGCATGTTACCAATACATACACCAAAATAAACAGACATGAAGACATATTAAATGGAAGACTCAGAAGTAAAACCACACAGTTCAAGCCATCTGATTTGGGGCAGTAGTACTGAAGTTTGAACTCTGAGCTTCCCGCTAGGCAGGCTCTACTACTGGCTGAGCCATACCTCCAGCCCTGTTTTCTACTGGTTATTTCTGAGATAGGGTCCCACTTCCTGCCTGGGTGTGTTCCTAAGCATGATCTGCCTTTAGGTGTCCTACTGTAGCTAGGATAACAGGAATGTGTTCTCTGTTGAGAAGTCTCATGTACTTTTTTTTTTTTTTTTTTTTGGTTGTGGGGCTTGAACTCTGGGCCTGGGCACTGTCCCTCAGCTCTTCAGCTCAAGGCTCATGCTCTACCACTTGAGCCACAGCGCCACTTCCGG